GGCGTCCTCCAGCGGGCCAAAGGATGACTCGCGACCCGCGGGAAGTGCGAGCAGCACTGCATCCACCTCTGGAAGCGTCGCGAACGCCGTGCGCATTACATTCTCGGCCACCTCGGCACGAGCCGCGGGGTGGCACACGAATAGAGCAAGCCAGGCGGAGTTGGTGACGCCGAGCTGCACTTCCCCAACAATTCCCCGAAACCACTCGGGCCATTGCGCTGGGTCCACCTCTGGGCGGCCAGGAGCGTCGGAGAGCGCTGCGTAGCCGACAACCTGGCCGCGCTCGTCGACCGCCGTGATGCCGAGCGTCGCCGTCTCGAGGAGGGTGGCCACGTCGAGCGCGCCGAAGCGGGTGCGGTCCTCGTCGGTGATCAGGGCCTCGATCCCGAGCCGGTCCTCGAACTCAGCGCGGCGGACCGCGACCGACATATGTGTCTGTGTGTCGCCGGGTCAGGCAGCCCCTGCTCGCTGTAACCGACGGCCTGGGAAAGAAGTTTTTCCCGCCCCTCTCGCACGACACTGAGCACGGGACTGGCGGCACTGGCAGTTAACATAAAAGAAAGAATATCACGACAAAACTCCTTCGCACAACACTGGAAAAAGAAATGGTGGCCGGCGCGCCAGTCAACGCCCGTGCAAGGGGAATTCTTTCCCCCCTTGTGTGTGTTGTTTTGTTAGTGCCAGTGCGCGCAAGTAGCGTCGGAAATTCTCAGCTAAAATTCTTTTTTCTGTAGAGAGACGGTCGGGCCTTGCTCTGGCCACCGCGCGTTGATTATGTGCGTGCTGGCATCGCTCGCCACGCTGGCCGCCGTCTACGCGCCGACACCTTTGCCCAGTCTTTGGCCGTTTGCGTTGCGCGTCCGACCCGGGGCAGGCATGCTCCGAGGGCCAGTGCGCGCCCGCACGCCTGCTATGCAGATGGCGCAGGACGATGGCGCGCGGCCAAGTGGCGCGGCGGCAGTTGAGCCGGCGCGGTTCCCCACCCGGGCGACACCGCCAGCCGACGTCTTGACCGCTCAACTCGCCGCGCTCAGGGCGGGCGACATGGCGGCCGCGTTTCAGCTCTTCTCTCGTGCGCGCCGGCTCGCAATCCGTGACGGCGCACGGCGCGACGTCAGAGAGTTCAACGTCAAGCAGGAGGACGTCTACGTGGCGCTCGCGCTGATGCTCACA